CTTCTCTTTGGTGGAAGCTTCTTCTTGGTAACAGAGCTCGGTGGCAATGTGCCAGATCAAAAGACTATGGTCATAATCAACATCTGTTATGTAACGCAAAATCATTTCATGAGCTGCTATTTGACTCTGGGTGTCACTCGATGTCCAACCTCTCCTGACCGAGGCTTTTCTTTTTGTATTCTCCAGGCTGTCTAGATTCTGGGATTTATTTTTCAGCTCAGAAAATATGGAAGACCATAGTTCTTTTGTCAAGGGTTCGCTATGTACAGATCTTACCAGTCTTATCTCATGGAGGAGATCATTTATTCCCAGGAAGTTGTTCAAGCAAGTGCCAAGAAACGCGATAATGTAAGGTACGTGGAACCAAAACTCAACAAAATTCTTGAAGACAGTGATAATAGAACGAGCCACCTGATTTTCTCCCGGTGATATATTGATCACTTGGTGGAAAACATGCTTGTGTATATCACGAAACCTTGTGGCGATGTTTCCAAAACAAGTGTGGATGTTGGAGATAGGGTAACAGAAAGGAGAAAAGACGGCCTTCCACAAATGCCAGCACGTTCTACCCCTTGGGCTGTGGATCTTATCTGTATCTGCATTCATGGAGTATGTGATGAAGTTGAACATTTTGATGCTTTCAGTCCATCTTTTGAATAGAAACGGTGTTTTAAGCACCTCCTGCTGGTTTCCCTCAAGACATGTTTGCTTCTTCCACTTTGGCCTCATGAGTTTAAGGATATTATTGCATATTCTGTCTTTAAATGCACTTAAAACCTCACCGGGGTCATCCTTTAGCGTTGAGAGGACGGCCGTTGTCCAGTCGGAAACCAAAAACATGTGCAAGGATATAACATCCAGAGTTATTCCAACTAAGAACAACGTGTAGGTGATCACGATGTCGGCTTTGTGAAACTCTTGGATCTTATTGTGCCTGTAATGGAAGATGCTGAAGGCTGATAGAAGAGATCCCAAGGATATAACCCGGGACACAAATCCAAGCCAACTATGGAGAACCGCACCTTTTGTGTACAGACCTTCATAGATAAAATCGAGCTCGGCCTCTATAATCCTCAAAGCTTCTTCATCTTGTAGTCTCGTTTGGCTAATGGTCCGATCTTCAAATTTTTGTACTCTCAATGTGCTAAAGAATACTTTGCTCTCATTACGCAGCTCCAAACTGAAGATGTTATTGACCATAAGACTCTTGAAGTTATTGAAGAAGAAAAACGCATATTGAAGAATTTCAAGGTCGTGCAACTTTCTATATGGGAGCATTAGCTTCAGATGTTTGCGATGCTCCTCCATGTCCATCTCAGAATTTCGTATTGAGTCCATATCTAGGTTCTTTGTTTGCTCGGTGTAGTCAATCCCCGAATTGGACGCCTGCAGCATCGAGCCCCTGAACATGTCCGTACTCGCGAGGTACAATGCTATTGTCCTTTCCAGATACTTAGAGGTCCCGGCAATGAACAACAGCAGTATTATGACCCAAAGCACATTGGGTAGGGATTGGACAACCACATAGACACCTGCAAGTGCTTGAAAGACAAGCCCAAGGAAATGTCTGTTCCAGAGAGCATTGTCCTCGAGGGAAAACGCAGTAATGGTGTCTGGTCCACCAAGGTGTAAGAGCAAGAAAGGTGCCCACAATGCGACAAGCTTCTTGTCTTGAGGAGGATCATCAGGTTTAGGATCTTTACCTTGGTTCTTGGCAATCAACGCGACCGCAAAATTCGCAGACAAATCTGCTAAGAGATACGAAGACCACAAGAGGAAGATCAGGAACTTGTTGGGCGTTCGTTTCCTCAAGGGGGCAAAGAAAATGAGAATTGTCTGAAGCGAGAGGCTGAGGATTATCATTCCCCTGATGTTCCATGTGTCCCAAACATCTTTGATGTGTTTGGGAATCACTTCCACCATTCTTGCTTTGTTTCCTGCCAAGAAAAAGCTCTGATCAGATCGTTTCCTGGAAAACTTGTTGCTTTGAGCAATGCTTTTTTGCTTCTGCCATTGACTTTTTAACCAAACCTTGCTCGGGAAGTGCAAACTACGGTGGTC